CATCTTTCCCTGAAAGGCAGATGTATTTGTTGCTGCTTGCTTCTTGGGTACCAAAACAGCCATAGAATTAACCATGTGTTGCAAGTAGAAACAACTGTGTAACTGCCAGGCTGACAGTCCCCTCACTGTCCTTCTGTCATCTCCCACAATGGCCCAAATTTGTGTTGCTCTACGAACAGCATTAGAGACTATGGGTGTTATGTCTGTTTAATCTTTCACCAGCTGCCACCAAAAAACCAGTTCTGTTGCTCCATGCTTTGCGTGTACCTGTAAAACCTTGATGTTGTCTTCATGTCAGCTGAAGTACTTAGAGCTCCATGGAGATGTTGCATGCAGCTCAGCAGAGACTGTAGGACCCTGGCTCCCAAAGAGGTAGAAAAAGAGCACTCCTCCTCACAGTGTTATCACAGAGTGAAGTGACTGCCAGACAGAAGTGTGTATACTTACAGCACAGACACACAGCACACAAGCACCCCAAGGGCAGACCTTCTCTTTACAGGAAAATTCAGTTGGGTGAAGGATGTACTGAAAACATCAAGCCTTCCTCTACACTACAGCTTAACTGCAGGTTCAGTCAGGATTTGGTTGTCTTTATTGCCAGTCTTCGCATGCTGGCTCAGGCAGAACAGAGATGTGCAGCCTGGAAAAATCCAGCGGGCTCTGGACACAAGCAAATAAGGTAGTCTGGGAGAGGCACACCAGAGGGCAGTGTCTGCTCTTGGGACATCTTTGGCTCTGCCCAAAGGATAGCAAGATGCTCAACCCACGATTAAGCTTCTGTCTCACCCTGCCACGGATGCTGTGCACTTGGTACAACTGACTTGAAGTCAGCAGGGACAAGGAAAATGTGTAGACTACAGAACTTGTCAGGGTCACTTCTGCACTCCAGCCTGCAGCCTACCTCATTGTGTTGATGTGTATCTTAAGCAGGTTTGTTGTTTGCAAAGACCTATGGTCGGTGACTACATGTCAATGATGCTGCAAGGGCCTGAACTTGAATTGTAAGAGCATTTCTGGCTGTTCTCAACAAAAAACCACTACTTACCTGTTGAGCTGCTTTACATTATTTTTGAGAATCCATGCTCCTAGACTAGAAATCAGTTTTTCAGCTAACATAGCTTCACTGAAGGCTTTTTTTTTTTCTGTGAATTCAGTACAATAAAATCTCGCTACCTTTTGCTGGCTTGGGTTTTGATAGGTTTTTTTGGTTGGGTTTGTTTGTTTGTTTGTTTTGTTGTTGTTGTTGTTGTCTTTTTTTTTTTTCCCCAGTGAAATACCCATGTGGAAAAATACCAGTTCTGGCAAAAAAAAATTCAACTGTACATGGGAGAATAGTAGGTGGTTTCACCTGTCCTCCAGGTGAATGTCCATGGCAAGTGAGTTTTCAAAAATTTTTCACTGATTATATTTTTTTAATTTCCTGATGAAATCACTATCTTAAATTCATTGCTTTAAATCTATTACATTAAAAATTCATAAAAAGTGCCATGTCTTGATAACCAAATTCCCTCTTCATCAATAGCCAGCAGATCCACCTGTTTCACTTAGGCACCTTCTTCTTAGCCTGGTTTCATAGGAATAGAGTGGTAGCACAGCTGTCTCAATCTCCTGACCCCTTACTCCTTAACTTTACTGCCAGCAAGAATTTTAGTTGCAGCTTCCAGGGATACACTCTGGGCTATAATATGTAGGGTCCATATTCCAAGATGGAGAAAATGTCCATAGGAAGACTTCCCTTGTTAAGTTCTCCATGCAGACAGCATGGTATTGTCAAACATAGTTGCATAAAGAGACAGAAATAAGCAATATGAAACTCATCTCTGCTGAGATTCATGTAAAGCACATTTGATGCAAGACAGATTTTCTTTATGTTGGCAGGCCCTTATAATACAGGATCAGAAAGAAAAGTGTGGTGGCACCCTGCTTTCCCCAGAGTGGGTGGTCACTGCAGCTCACTGTTTGGAGCATACTCACCCTAAACAGCTTCAGGTGAGACTGGGTATGTATCTTCCCCTCCTCATCTTATCAAGGTGGTGGCTTCTCAGCCTGATAAAATCAGAGTACAAGGCTTTGGCAATACAAGGTATTGGTCCTTAGAGGTGTCAGACTAGAAACACCCTATATCCTCAAACTTCCAAAGAATCAAGGAACTACCTGACATGGCCTGCAATTAATAACTTTTCAGGTGAACACAAAATAAATGTTGATGAGAAAACTGAGCAAGAAAGTGGAGTCGCCAGGATGATCATTCACGAAGAATACATAAATGGGCAAGTCAATAATGATATTGCCCTCTTGAACCTGGAAACACCGGTGAATCTCACTGACTACGTGGTGCCAATATGTTTGCCTGAGAAAAGGTTTGCTGTGTTTGAACTGTCCACCATCAAGTTCTCCACAGTAAGCGGATGGGGACGCCTAATAGATGGAGGTGCCACCTCTTCTGTTCTAATGAGAGTTGATTTGCCACGTGTAAAGACACAAGAATGTGAAAAGGAGACCGGTTTAAATATTACAGAGAATATGTTCTGTGCAGGAGACCTGTCTGGGGCTAAGGACTCCTGCAAGGGAGACAGTGGTGGTCCTCATGCTACACGGTACAAGAACACTTGGTTTCTGACTGGGATTGTCAGCTGGGGAAAGGGCTGTGCTGTTGAAGGCAGCTATGGGGTTTATACAAGGGTATCCAAATACATCGACTGGTTGAGGAAGCACATGGACTAGGGATGTTGAGCCACAGCATTTCCAGGTTGTGTTATTGCCCCCCAATCCTTCTGTACTGTTTTCCCATTGAAGGATTCCTTCATTATCTTAGATATTTGATACAGGCCATACCCACAATACTATTAAAGTGAGCCTAAGGGCTACTTGAATACATAAAATAACTTCCCTCTCAGTTTTGTTTGTAAACTTGTGTATCTTGTCAAGCAGGCAGAGAATGACCATAACAAATCAAACACAATGTCCCTCCTGTTCTGCATCCATTTCTGCTAAAGGTCAGAGCTAGATGCTGAGAGAGACTGTCAGCAAAACCTCATGCAGACCATAAGCCTTCCTCCAGCTACTCTCAGCTTCTGGTAATCAGTGAAGTACAGACTTCCTGAGCCAGAAGTTGTATTAGATCGAACAGTCATAATGAATGTGTTGTCCATAATTGTGTCCAATCTCCTTTGAACAGATGCTTCTGGCTTTCATAACTTCCTATGCTATGGATCCTGTAATATAATGATGAAATAGCAGAAACAAAAATAGAAAAGGCGTTTCTTTTAGCTTATGTTGAAGGGGCTTTCTCCCACAGTTGCAATGGTAACAAGGAGATTTGAAGGGGAGGAACTGCAGACACTCTCCAGGAAAAGAAATCCAGGAAAAGGTTGATTCCATATTTACAGGTCTGGTGTGAAAATTTTGTTTAAATCTTCTTGCACCGAGCATTATAGCTGCAAGGCTAGTAACTGCAATATTTAACCCTGTATTTATGAGTGGTAAAGAACACCACTGATTTAATCTTATCTTTGCCTTGGTACTATGCTTGTTGATACAAAGAGTGCAAATGAAAGGGAATGTTTATCAGTTGTCCAGCATAATCTCAGTTGTACTCTCTGTCCTGAGATCTGAAACGAGAACAGGATAATTGTCTACCCTTCTGCAAATCACTGACCAGAGACCATTCACTAAAATCTTAAGGCATAAATGATAGAACCTGAAGCTCTCTGAAAATATACACAGCTCAAAAATGTACTTTCTAACCTTAGCATGAAAACACTGAAAAGGTGAGGAAGAGAAAACTGAACCAGATTAGAAAAGAGTTTATATTTCATGCAGAATTTATGCTCTAGATTGTTCAAATAATGCAGAATATCATATCAATCACAAAAGCTTATCAGCAAGCAGGACATAATTGCTCATACTCTATTATAAGGGGAAAACATTGTCATCGTATGGTACATATACCATGCAATACTGAACATCCTATAACGTGTTTTACCGACAGAGAAGGAAGTTTTATTGTTCATTTACATAGTGAAATGAACTAGGAAAGGTAGCAAATTTCAGAGACCTGAAAAACAAGAGATGTCACATTATACATGCACACATGCACTAGAGGTTCTCCTTACTCCTAAAGAGTCCAGTCTCAAGGAGAAAGGTGACTGTGAGTAGCGACCAGCAAATAAAGCCTCATTTTCACTTAGATCAGGTGCTCGGCACTGTAAAACCATCCATGACGACCCCTCAAGGTAGAATAGTTTGTGTTTTCCATGATCCACAAGATGATTTCTCCTCTGTAACATTCCAGTGAAAATACTGACATTTATAAACAAACCATCTTGCTGGGAAAGGGTAAAACGCTGAAGGAGAACAGTACAAATAATTGCCGCACAAAGTGACTCTTTCAAAACAAATCTGGGTTTTAGATTATATTTTTAATATAGCAGCCTGCTTAGGAAAGCCGAGGAGATGAAGGAGACCTGATGGCTGGTTCTGGAAGTACCTCAGACGTGGCCTCAGCAGCGCACTGTGAACTCCCCACAAGAAAGTGGAGATCGAGGCCAGTTTCCTCCGGCCGAGGTCACTGGTCCATGGAGCCAGCAGGTTCCATCCAGTGCTGGATGTGGACAGGACACAGGGCTGGCAGCGGCCAGGGCTGGCTGTGGGCTGCGAGCCCGGCTTTGCCCAGCGCCGGGCTGGGGCCACGCCAGCTTGTTGAGGGGACGACTCACTTCCCTTCCTCCAAAATAAAAAGTATAGTTAAAAACAAACCCCACACGCTGCCTTGGGCTTTAAAAAAATAAAGAACAACAACAAACAAAAAAAAGGAGCAGCCTCATCCCGCCGCGGCTGTCCACCCTGTCCCGGCGCTTCCGCTATTTCTGGGCAGGGTGAAGCAACGCGGCTTCAGTCTCACCCCGCCCGAGGGGGTGAAGACTTCGGCTCCCGGCAGTCCCGTCCCGTCCCGTCCGTGCCGCCGGCGCGGCCCCGGGAGCGCCATCGCCGGCGCCGCCATGGCCGGCCGCCTGCTGCTGCTGCTACTGCTGCTGTTCTGCGCCGCGCTGCCCGCCCAGCCCCGCGCCCACGGAGGCGGTAAGGCGGCACCTTTTCCATCTTGCCGGGAGCGGGGAGTCTCCCTTCCCAACAGTCTCCGGGGGGTGCGGTGCTGCGGGCCGGGGGCGCGCACCGGGAGCGTGCCAGGAAGGGGAGGGGGCACCCGACGGCTCGTCTGCCCCGGCAGGTTCGGTTTCCACAGGGCTGAGGGCTTGTCAGCACCTGTGCCGACCTCGCACACCGCCATAAAGCGGGGAGCTGAGCTCTGGGGAGCTGAGCTCTGGGGGCATCTCGGGGGTGTAGGAGAGGGATTGCCCGCTGTTCGCACCGGGAGGAGAGCTGCCCTGAGGTGCAGCCCGAGGCGCTCCCGTGTGTGAGGGGAAACCTGGCCAAGACTTGGCTGGATGCGCTTGGCTGTGGAGGAGCTGGGGCACGGCGGGAGCAGGTCCTGCAGCATCAGCAAATAACTTTTCAAAAGCTGTTAACTCTTCCTTCAGTGAGTCTGACTGCTTGGGGTTTAAAACAAGGTCTTTGGCATATTTCTGGGAATATCCTGCTTCTGTTGACCAACGGTTGTTGCTCCTTGATGTCTCTAAAGAAGAAGTATGATGGAGAGCTTGGAAAAAGAACGAGCAGCCTCAGAAAGAGGCTCTATCAAGTTCACAACAACATCCGCTTATGTGGGTGGCGTGAAAGCAAAGGAATATAGAGGTGATAACCCCACCGGCTGCGTCCTGTCACTTTCCTGTCGCTGGAGAAAGGGATTTAAGGGCATATAAGATAGTGGGTGAATGAACTAACAGTCGCTGAGCTGCAAGTTAAAATTACTTTCTGTAAGCCTTGCTTGAGAGGAGCCTTTTCCAAGTAAGGGGAGATTCAAATTACGCGTGGGATTGCTTAATATAAATAACACAAACAGAACCTGTCTCGCTATGGATGATCCACCAATTTCAGTGAAAGCAGAATAAGTGTCTTCTGTGCTCACTTGGAAGATATTAGGGTGTATAATTACTATTAGCAAGTTTATTTATCATTGAATAATTAAGCTGCATGAAGAATGCTCCAAAAGGAATATGCAGGCCTCCCAGTGAGCATAAGCCATTGTCCCTTAAGTCACATCTGTAGCACACTCTTCCACACTCCAGCCTGTGATTGGAAAGTATTTCTTCAGTGTAAATTCCAAGTGATAGAACTTGATTAAATGCTAACTTCCAAACTCTTCACATTTTCCTAAAACATATACTCTGCACAGGGTAATTGGCAACTTATTTACTCTATTGTTGTTTTTATTTTTCCTGCCTGGTGACCTATGCACAAGAAACTGAAGAGTAATGCTATTACTGTTCACAGAGACAACTGCCTGTAATGAGTTTAACGATCTCATGTCTTTGATCCTCCGGTTGAAATCAACAGCTACCTGAATCTTCAACTTGAAGGCAGCAAGTTTCAGGCTTCTGTAACAACAAGCTTTTAAAAAATAAAACAACTCAGCAAACTGACTTCAGTCTGCACTTTCCTGCTAAAGCTGATGTTCATTTACTCCTGCTCTTTGTAAAATCTTAGAAAGCAGCTGCCTTAGTTCTACATGCACATAAATCAGGAAGGTAGGAGCATTTCTACAGGCAATTGGGAGGTGCTGTTAAGAAGGCAGGAAGATCCCAGGGCAGTGCAATGGGATTTCAGCTGCTAGAAGATACATTGCTGCATCTTGAGTGGCATTTAGTTTCTGCAGCACAAGCCGCTGGAGCAGACCAGTGGTGTTACCTGGTGGTCAGCTTTAAAAACAAATCAAGGAATGTAATCTCCCCAGCATTATGGGACAGCCATTCCATTCAAGAATGAGTCTTGAGCAGGAACAGCAGGAATATAAGCCCTCATTGGCGACCTTTTCAAGATTAAAAATAGTAGGAGAGAATTTTGGGGTCCTACATTTTGCTCTGAGGCTACTTATTCTCAGAGAGACTTCTCCCAGAGACCCTGGGATGTATCAGCCTATGTGGTGACTAACCTCACAGGTAATGTTGTGTACAGGTGGTGTGGTCTGTTTTGGCTTTGTTTCTACTTCACTCATTTGTCATGACTTTTCCACCATCAAATGTTACACACCTGTATAATTTTTCTCTGTTATCTAGTATTCATCAAGAAACAAAGTGCCGACAACTTTTTGGAAAGGACAAAACGTGCTAACTCTTTCTTAGAGGAATTTAAGAAAGGGAATATTGAAAGAGAATGCAATGAGGAGCGCTGCTCAAAAGAAGAAGCAAGAGAAGCTTTTGAAGACCAGGAGAAAACTGTAAGGATGAACTAATATGAAACATAGGTCTATATATTTCATGTTTAAAAACTACTATTCAAGTCCTTTCAGCTGTGCATCAAAACTCACAAGTTGTTCCCAATCACTTAACACAAAGAACAAATAGTGATTGATTTTGGGTAGAATTGCTAAGGCAATAATCATCCCATAACAGTCTTAATTTAACTCTTGCATGGCCAGCCCATGTTAAATCTGCCATTCTTTTACCTGTTCTGATCTGTTTAACTGCCATTGGAAGTTATTTGACATTCAGTGGCTTTGTTGCTATCAGTGTTGAAAATACATTCACCCTATCTGGGTTACATAAGTGCCATGACTGTAGTCAAGGCAGCCCATGGGAAGTCTGAGAAGGCAAATGCTGACATGGAACCTCATGAGAGAATTTCACTGAACTTATTTTAAGCAGTTTTGCTTGTAATTTTGTAGCTCTATCTGAATTGAGAGAATGTATACTGTGAACATGCCTTAATGCCTTAAATTTGACTGGATTGAAGTTTGTGTGACTCTTATATCACCTGCCCTACTCCAATGGCTTAACTTTAGACAAAAATTTGTTCCCAAGCTGAAGGGAAAATTAAGGAGATGGGGCAGCTGTGTGGACTGGAGTAAGTAGAAAAAGTGGTATTACAGACATAGACTGTACCTATATTGCTGTTTAGAACTACCCTTAAACTGGAGCTAAGGCCATATTCACTTCCCTTTAGTGTTATTTGATGGCCAGAATGTTCTTGGAGTGGCCCTGAGGTGTCTTGGGTGGGGAGTCATGGGTGCTTCGCCAGTGAACTTCAGACCATAACTGTTGACTTAGCTGTAGCAGAGCCAGCACAACCTGTTCTGCCTGGTGACCAGATGTCACTGGAAAGGACTGTCATGGACAGACAGCATCCTGGAGACCTCAGTGCAGACAGAAAGGAGAACACAAATCAGACAAAATACTTTTAAATGTCAGGGTTTGTGAGGTCCTGATTGATGGGAGTCTGGGGTGGGGATCAAGGCTGAAAATTTGGCATTATAGGAATGTAAGTAAATTCAGGCAAAACTGGTGGAAAGATACTTATGCAAGAAATCAAGTGGTTTATGCTGAACGGGTCACACTGAAAAAACTCTAAGGAGTTTCAGATGTTTCTGAAAAATACGTGAAACTTTTTTGTGTAGAGCTGGGCACTATATATATATATATATATATATATATATGTATGTGGATCATATGGTTTTAAGTGATTAAATGGTAATGGTGGGCTGCCAGGCACTGTATGTATCGGTGTATGTAAATATTTCCTTTAGCAATTGTTAGCTGCAAGTATCCTGTGTATGAAAAGTCTAATGTTTTTCTGAGAAATTCAGTAATTCTTATCTAGCTCTATTTCTTTTTTTTTCTCCATTTCCCACACTTACCTGTAGGAGGAATTCTGGAACATCTATGTAGGTAAGAAACATTCTGTGTTTGTTTAGGAGATTAAGCTTCCTTATTGCAAGGTTTGAAAGGATGCATCTCTTAAGTAACCCCTTCCTGCTCCCTTGCTTCTTCTCTTTTCATTCTGGGGCACCCTCATGTTGTGTTTCCTCTGAAAAAGGAATCTTATTTACTGCCTGCTGTTGTTTGAACCCAGTTGCTTCATTTGAAGGCAAGGTTCAGCTGTCTCCAGTTGCTGGGCTGACCTTTGTCCTCTCAAAAAAAGAACAGTGGTCCTTTGCATGCAAAGGACAGTGAGGAGCAGAAACTGTGTGTGGGACTGCTAGATGGTTTTCCTTCAGTGGGGTGGCGCCAGATGGGACAATTCAAGATGCAAAGCCACAGATGAGGGTGTCTCTTAAATGCCATGAGCAACACAAAGTTAAATTGCATTGCAGAGTCATTTGCCAGTTTCCTGTCACCTTCCATGCCAAAGTGTTGTTGATTCCTGTCTTAAAGAGCACTTTTTGTTCGTGCTTTTTACAGAACTGTTTGGCATTCAAGGAAATATATGCCAGTAGACCAGCAGATACTACCTAACAGTTTTCTGTTTTTTTATCTAAATATGTGAGTTTTATTTATTAAGATTCTAGTGTTTGTAAGCACTGTGCAGGGACAGTTTTTTTAATTTATTAGTGTTTGATATCATGTTCTCCAGAAAGTATATGCCTAGTTTGCACACTAGGAAGAGTACCTCCAAAATGTTGACCAAACACAGCTCAGCTTTGTCTTTTGGAATCTGCAGGAAAGTGAAGACTGTTGCCATGAAGAAGACATAGACTTTCACAATCCTCTAAGCAGGGGATGAACTCTGCAACCTACAGACTAAAATTTCAAGCAAAGGCTGTGTCAGTGTTAAAGTAAACAGGATTGGAATATGTCAAACCATTTTCTTCTGAGAATACAAGCAGCAGAGTATCAGTGCCAATGCTCTTCACAGAAACGTTAGTTTTCATACATTTTAAACCACAAATGCTTTATAGGTGTTCAGAAGTATTGAAAACCGCACATACATTCAGCCAAGTTACTACAACAATTTGTTCTTGCTTCCCTTTTTAGTATGGGATTCTGCAATTCGTGCAATATTGATGTAAAACTCATTACCACAGAAGCAACTACAGTGTAGGGTAAGACTGAATAAGTATGTTTTCTAACAGTAGGATGCTGCTTAGCTAAGACCACTACAGAATAGAGTGCTGTGGCACTGCCGAGGAGACAGAAACCAGATGATGTAGGCCTTCAGTCTGGGTTTTTTTGTTTGTTTTTTTTTTTTAATAGTGGTCTTGTCTTCCCTCTGTTAAGCATGCACATCCATTTCTAGAGCCTCCATGGCTGGAGCATTTGGAGAGCTATTGGTTTTCGCCACATGCAGGTAGAAAAGGGATCTTGATGTGTGGGTGCAGTACACAAAGCCCAGCAACTCTTCCCTGTGACAGGCAAAGCTGTAGCAGATGAGGTCATGGTCCAGAAATACCACATGGGGAGCATGGATAGGATGAGTAGCTTCTTGCATGTTGTTTCTGCTGTGAACATTGATGTGGCAGCTGCTCTAAAGAGGGGCAGAACAAGTGGTAAAATAGGGGGATAACAACGAGTTATCTAAGGCAGCAAATTATCAAGCATCATTTTTCTGGATATCCTGCGTTTTATATGAAACAAAAACTATAGGGAAACGCAAGGGGCCAGAAGTTCAGTATATTTAGGCAGTAATTACAATGAAGAAATGTCCTATCACCTCTTACAGGTGTCACTGTATGTATATTCAGACCACAATCACAGTATCAAAGAATATTCTGAGATTGAAGGACCCTAAAACATCACTGAGTCATTGATCATTCTTAAATGAATGGCCCATAGAGGGATCAAATCTGCAACTCGATCCATATCGTCACCATGCTCTAACCAACTGAGCTAATCTCTTTACCTCCCCACAAAAAAAAGGCTTATGAATGCATCATAATACAGTGGCCACTAAAAAGAGATTGCAAAACTGAGGATATGTAGATGAATCATTGCAGGTTTGGAATTATTGCATTTATACTGTTTATTCCATCTGGAATGTGGCAACTCACAAAACCTATATTTCAAAAGACAGGATGAAAAATGGCTTAAGAAAACTAAGAGCCCTTCTGTGTTCACTGAAAATGATTGCACACTTCAAATAATTTGGGGTTTGGTTTGTTTTTGTAGATGGGAACCAATGCAGTTCGCATCCTTGTCACTATGGTGGCCACTGTAAAGATGGAATTGGTTCCTACACTTGCACGTGCTTGGATGGTTATCAAGGCAAGAACTGTGAATTTGGTAAGTTTCTGCTTTAGAGAACCACAATAGTGAACTTCCCAGGGAGCTTTGCAAGGAAGCATGTTTTGCATGGAAATCCTTCCTGGGGCTCACTTCTGTGGCATGGAGCTGCCACCATGACCTTGCCACAGGAGGGAATATCATTAGTCCAGAAGTAAGAGTGGGAGTGTGGAACTGAGGTTCAGTCAGAGGACCAAGGGAGCGATGAGGAGTTGAGTTTTTAGGTCAGGAGGGAGGAATGGTGTGAGGACTTGCATGGTTATGTTCTCTGTTAGTGCTTTGTTCATTCTTCCCCTGACAATTTGTCTCTGCTTTTCTGAGCTCACCATGCAGTGGGCACTGGGCTCACTCCGACCTGGCAAGTACATTTGGAGTGCTGGATGCAGGTGCTTTGTGAGGCACAAGCTGATGTTCAGCACTCACACCAGTTATTCCTATAAGGTGTTTCAGGTGCTTGGCAGGTGGAGATACAGATCCTGTATTTTATTTCAGAGAACTTCCAGATCTTCTGTGAAGGCAGTGTTTATGTAGAGTTTTTCTCCCACCGTGTCTTTTATAGTCATACCAAAGTTCTGCAGAATAAACAACGGGGACTGTGAGCAGTTCTGCAGCGTCAGGAGAGATGGACGGAAGGATGTAGTGTGTTCCTGTGCAGATGGGTATGTTCTGGCAGAGGATGGCAAACACTGTGTTGCAACAGGTATGAAACCATGGGACAAACCAATAGCAGTGGTGGTGAGACTTGTTTCCCAGTTAAGCAATGTCTTGGTTTACATTTGAAGAATGTCTTTTGAACCCCCGGTGTCCTACGTGACACAGACTCAAGAGTGAGGCTAACTGATTTATATTTCGAAAGATTTCCATTTGTGAGGTGCTGTGATGG